ATTTGTATTTTTGATCAGTCTTGTATCCACAATGTGCTTTACGAGATCAGATTACTCGACCCAAAGACCTTTACAAACGGTTTTGTGTTTACATAATCTCTTATGAATGCGGCGGCAGGTCTCCGCCGCATAGACGACATGAACGCAAAACTTTGTAGCAACCTGATCTGCAAAAACGTTAATTTCTCTTTTTGCATTCTTTTTATGTTGCATTTCCTCTGCAGTTCATTCAACTTTTTCGCAAGCTGGCATAACGGCAAAATCAGCAACCGAGTGGAATTTTCCACTTTTCTATTCCGCGCCCTCAATCGTGTTGACTACAATTGATATGTAATTGTCTACTAAAACCGGATGAGTAATTGCTTTGAAACATTATATCCCTCAATCTACCAATCTCCTTGTCCCCATAGTTTGCATCCGTTAGACGCAGACTCGTTATTTTTATAGACATCATAACTCTTATTTTTATTCGTATGTAAGTAGGGTTTCTTATCGAGCCAAAACGTATAAAGTAAAAAATAGGAGTTGTGAAGATGATGATAACAAGAAGTCTGTGTCTAGTCAACTCAAACAATAGGGACGAGGAGATTGGTAGATTGGTAGATTGGTAGGCATATGCTGTTTCAGAACAATTATCCATTAGAATTAGCATAAAATTACTTGCCGATTGTAGTTAACAGGACTAGGGGAGTTTGCTATCGGACGTGGGATAGACAACTGGACAATTCCACTCGTTTCCTGATTTTGCCCTCCTGGCAGCTTGCGAAAAGGTTGGATAACAAATTAACCAACAAACACCACAAACACCACAAACACCACAAACATCATAAACATCACATCCCAAAGCAGACAACACAGACGACACAAGCAACGCCAGCAATGCAGACAGCACAACATAAACATGACAAGCGCACCAACACACACAACATAAAGAACAGAAAAATAGGCAAATACAAACAAGGCAAACAAGACCAACTGGATAGACGGACAAAAACACCACAACCAGAACGAGTGGGTTGCCTATGTCAATCTTCCCCATCCAACCGCAACCACAACCACAACCATAGCCTCCATTTTGACCTGGCCTGATGCTCTCTTCAGCACAATACCGGTGCATCTGAGCCGGCTTCGTGGCTGTCACACAACAAGACAACAACCACACATCCACGGAGGTGGCAGTGCGCCGTGAGAGGAGAAAAGAGACGAGACTTTCACGAGACTCCACGCAGCTCCAAGTTGACATTCACCTGTAAGCATAAATGGATATACTCGAGGACTACTCGCTCGGTTGCAAGTAGTATCGTCGAGATTGATTGGTGGCCTAGAACACGTGGAAACTGGTGTGGGCGCTTTGTGTTGTCATGTTGTGAGGGTGTGATGTGTACACGTGTGAAGGGTGAAGTGTGAAGCCAGCTTACCTGTGTATCCGCAATAAAGGCCTCTGGTACGATAAACCGGCAAAAGGCGTGCATGTCAGGAGGCTGAGCGAGGCCGGAGGGGCGGAAGAGTCATGACGAGGCGGTGGAGCAGACGAGAATGCAGACTCGTCGGTTTGTCGCAGCTAGGCCCTCTTCCGGCGTCAGCTCCACCGTCAGCTCATTCTGGCCTGGCCAATCACAGAGGCCCAATCGGGATTGGCCAATCAGATTGCGGACACCAAGCCACTCAAGGGCCAATGATGGCGGCGGTGACGGTGTGACGATGAGGCGGTCACATGGACTGACATAGCGATAAACAGACAGACAGACAGACAGACAAGAGGCCTTCAGCCCGACTACTTTCGGGCCAGAAACAGGCGGAACTAAAGGGACAACC